AAGCGCTCTGCCCACTTTCAGTAGTCCGAGGACATTGTGACTGCTCAACTCACCGCAAAACCACCAGTGGACGACATTCTGGGGGTTGTAAGGTTGTATATAGAATGGGACCCTCTTCAATTGGTATGTTCTATACTATATACAATGCATACACTACTGATCATCGCTCCGCAGTGCAACTCTCTGCACATCGTTATTGGTATCTAAAATTGTATATACAGTGTACTACACTGATCTCTCTCTGCAGTTCTCTGCAGTGCACCACTTCCACTTCCAGTATGGCTGGCGTTGGCAGTGGCACAAACAAGGTGTTAACACATCTCCAACACCAATAGTGCCAGTACCGATGGGGAAGTGGGTTCCAACACATCTTCGTCTAACGCATCTCCAAACACCAATAGTGCTACCATTTTCTGGAGTTGACAGTACCGACGGGGAAGTGGGTTCCAACACATCTTCATCTAACGCGTCTCCAAACACCAATAGTGCCAGTACCGATGGGGAAGTGGGTTCCAACACATCTTCATCTAACGCATCTCCAAACACCAATAGTGCTAGCAACGTTTCCAACACATCTTCGTCTAACGCATCTCCAAACACCAATAGTGCTAACAATGTTTCCAACACATCTTCGTCTAACGCATCTCCAAACACCAATAGCGCACCTCCATCTAATGCGACTCCAAACACCAATAGTGCTAGCAACATTTCTAATAAGTACATACAATGTACTGTAACTGATCTCTCTGCAGCTCTCTGCAGCGCAACTTCCAGTGAACATTGTTCCGGATCTTTGGTATGTTTCAATATGCATATTCAATGCGCATAAATGACAACTGATCTCTCTGCAGCGCCACTCTCTGCACATTGTTATTGGTCTTGCTCCTTTGGTTTGTTTTCTCATGCATATACATAGCTAAATTATTAACTTGGTTTTTGTCATATTTAAGGCATGCAGCGACACACTCACACTAGCCAGCGCACTCGGACTCGCACTCACTCAGACCACTCTAGTTCATATGGCGAACCCGAACAGCGTTGTCTGTCAATTTACGGAAGATGCCCTTGCCGCCGAAGACCGAATCTGTGAATGCCCGAGTTTGTTGTGCCCAGATCGCAAAAGGCCAGCCTTGTTTTTACGTGGCTACAATGCAACCTGGCAGATCTGGGCGCAATGTATGTGCACCATGCTATGCACGATATGAAATGAGGTCCGTAACATCTCAGAAACCCACCGGTGAGTTGATAACGATTTTCTCGATGTTATTTACTGACATATTTGTATTAGCATCACAGCCTGCCTTGCAACAACATCCATCGTCCACCCCAGCAAGTCAGCGATGGCCTGATCCTAAGGCCATTCGGCAGTCAGTGAATGCTTCCCAACGGAAATGTAAGTTGTTCCAATCTTTGATAGGACGTGAGCTGATTCTAACCGTGACTGACAGCGAGTGTCAATCTGCCTCGTGTGGTGGCAATCCCTGACTGGACCAATACCTCTATGGGCCCACCGCCTGTCCCTCTGCCTCGCGACCGTACAACTGGTCCTGATGTAGCTGTTCCCATGTCTTGGCAGGGGCCGGCAGCATCACCAATACCATTGAGGCTCACGGTCCCATTGGATATTCAGCCCACCACGGATCGTATTCGACTGAATACCAGAGATGGTCCAAACTCTCATATGCTACTCCTGGTGGCGCAATGGCTGAAACCATTTTCGCTAGAGATCTCGGCCATTCATGAAGCGGGCGGGGCGCAAGAAATCAAGAGGTACATTAATCGGGGATGACCTTTCCTATGTTCACTTTCATACCTGGCTAAACTGGCATATTTTATTTAGAATATCTGCGAGGGCAAGAAGGATATTGACGCCCAAATTGATGCCCCAGGCCTCATAAACTTGGCTATGGAGACGGTTCTGCCCAAGCTACATGTGTTTGGTGGGACCTTTTCGTGGCGTGAGCATGAATTCATCGTGCGAGACTTGAAATGGGTTGATCTCGCGACACACCCGCCATCAATTCCCTATTTCTACTCACAGTGTCTTCAGCCCACCCGTAAAGGTCCGGCGAAGGCCTCAATATTCAAGACGAAACAATTCGGCCTTATGGTAGTTGTGCCAGAGATTCAATGGACCGATTTCGAAGACTGGCAAGAAGCGAACGAAATGGTATGTTTATTCGTTGTATGATTGTTACCTACACTAACTTACACTTAATTGTACAGGCGATCAAACGCTCAAGTCGTCAGGCTAAGGGCAAGGGCAAGGCAGACCCGCTGTTTTTTGCCGACTCGGCAGAATCACTGGCATACACATACTCAACTGACCCACCGTTCGACCCAACTGACTTCGACTCAGCTGACCCACCGTTTGACTCTCAGACAGCGCCAAACCACCAATTCGACTCAGTTGAGCCACCGTTCGACTCTGAGTCAGCGCCGAAGATATCATCTGCTGCCACCCCAGTACCAGCGCTGAGCACGTCATCTACTGCTGCCACAGTCCCTGCACCAGTTACCACAACTACCAAGCGAACTCATGAGCGTGCGATAAGTATCACCTCTTCACCTTCACCTCCTCGCAAGCATAATATTCCTCATAATCCCCCGCCTGTTCTCTGCTCTCCTGATAGCGACGACCTGAGGATAGCCTTGAAGATTGGAGGAGGTGCGGATTTAGATATGCAGCAGGGTATGTCATTTTTTGCCGATGTATGTGTTCAACACGCTCACCTAGATGTAAGTGTCTAAGTTCCAGACCGAAAACATTCATTTTTACTCAATCCCCACCCAACAACTCAACGACCTCTTGAAGTGTACCCGGTACCATTCGTTTTCTGTGGATAACGCTGATTCGTCAGTGGGCTATGTGACCGTCGACACATCCCTGAGGGTCGCATCGGCATAGGTGGATTCAAGACTGCGCATACAGGATGGTTGACATTGATGTCGTCTCCTACCTCAGGTCTTGGGTCCAGGGCACGGCATGACGTTGTTGTGAAACGTCCATTCGAGAAGGTATATCCCAAAGGCACGCCAGCCAGTTTGGATTTCAAAATTGGACGATTTGCGCCCAAGGATGAGTCGGCCAAGTTATTTAGGGAAGCAAACGTCCTATACTGGGCAAAAGCTCTGTTAGGTCTTGTCTACGACGTCATTGACTGTGCTGTGGCAGGGGCATCTGAGCCTGTACCATTCGATATTCCCCGTGTGCGCTTTGTCAAAGCTGGTCTGGCGCTATCTTACTATCAAGATAGTAGCAAGCCTGCATTAAAGGTTGCATCACGCGTGCATGTTTTCTCCTCGAGGAAGTTATCAACGGCAGAGACGATGATTTCGTCAAGTATATTCATAACATGGACCCCAACCCATTACTTGATCCAGATGAACCTGGATATGACTTTGCGTTGTTCCTTGCCTTCACACAACATGTACAGTATGTGAAGACAGGTGGGCTGGTCTTCATCTCTGATTATCAAGGTATGTACTTTACCTTGTTACATTGCGCATCGGCGATTCTGACGTCGGAATCAAACAGGCAATACCGAGCTGTTGACTGACCCACAGATTATGACACACCCTTCGGTTAGCGACAAGAAAGACATCTTTGGGGGGGGGCAACATCAAGAAGGCGGTCAGTGAATTTGAGACTCGCCACGTTTGCAACCACTTCTGCAAATGGCCAAGGTTTGAACTTGAAGAGTTTGGGGGCAAGGTAGCTTAGATGACGCTAGTTTTCGTTTAGCATATGTTTTGGGGCGGTGTTACAATGTATTACAGCTTTGGGTTTTCATCCTTATACACTTGACCTAGATTCAAACACACAAGTAGGTTTCACTGATCAACACAGACAAATACGCCAGGACGGTGCTCGAGGTCCGATTACTATATGTGGCCATTTTTTCTTAAAATTTGAGCACGAGTGTCCGGCTTTCCATAGAAGGCTTGGTCCCGCTTGGAGCAAAGTTACTTGCGTACATAACAGTGCATAACATCAACAAATTCTCGAGTCAGATTTGATCAAACTGCAACCCCGCTTCACCCAGGTTACCCATATGCGTCTGTCTCGAACTGCAACTCACTATCATTTTCAAACGCCAAGTCCAGATCTCGAGTTCTGCACGCTCGCAATATGCCGTGGGCGCTCATAGGCACTGTTCGAACAAGGATGAGGTATGTTTATTACAAGTTAAAGAGCAACGCTAGTTCGACTTCACAGGGGCAGAGGCTCGAAGAAAGACAGTAATCGGAACAAGCCGGAGTACATAAACTAGCAGTGATAAAATGATCAGATGCGAAAGTCGTGGATTCGGTGCGCGCGCACCGCTACTACGATCGGGAAAGCGGATCCTCTCTATTCAGAAATTTCGACACGAGCTTAACACCAGCGAGTTCTTATGGAGCCACGTCTAGAGATATCGTGTTGCCACGGCGCATTATATTCAAGTTGCCTAGTCGGTCGGACGCACAGCACTGAGCAGATGCATGTTTTGGGGCTGACTGCCTGTGTATAAAAGCGAAGGGATAACTCTCAGTTCAATAACGAAGAACATCATCTTCAAGTGCCACAATGAAGTTCATCTCACTCACCACCATAATTACGTCTGCCGCAGTACTGGCGGGCATCGTGGCAGCACAGGACCCTAACGGCACGCCATGCACCCAGCCTGGCGAATACCTTCAGCATGCTTGTATTTTGATCTCGGACCGCACACTTGCGGGTGCTTGCAGGAAATTGGGAGTGCGGAACACTTGCAGGTTAAAACGGGGGCTTGCCATATTTATTTGTATGCTCGGCAACAAGCACTGTGCAGGTCATGGGCCAGTGCAGCTGTTCTACGTGCTGTTCTGTCGTTAATGGGGGTAAAGCTCCTAATGGGTCCGTCAATTGCTTATAAGAGGAAAAGGGGAGTCCGCTTCTTGCTTGCCGTTCCCGAAGGGATAGTATAGACCACTCGGTCAAGAAGGCTTGGAGCAAATAGACATCAGAATTACAAAACCCATGGTTTGCCGTGTACTTTCCTACAAGAACAACTAGTTATTACTTCGCAAAATTCACTACTTTCTCACACGCGTCCTTCAATGCATCGGCAAGAACTTCGAAATCCGAAATCTGATTTTTACCGGTAAGAATTAAGAAGATCATGTCTTTACGATCAGGTTCTCACCTCATTCCACACCTGCGCGCTACACCTTGTCCACCACTTCCCATTGTGGTAGTAATGAGCGGCATACGTATTCCACTCAACCATCAATGTGTTTAGCAGCAGAGAATCAACTTCATCCGAATATTTGATATCGTCAGGAATGGGCAGTTCCACGTTGACCTTACCAGTGAACATGAAATGCGGGAAAAGAAGTAAAACAGCGCATTTACGTACCATGTTGAAAGTTAGTTCACCGTCAGGGTCCATTACGCTGGTTCCTAGGAGACTTGCTAGATGCTTTCCGCCTGCGATTGCAAGATTGTGAGTGTATTCGTTTATCTTGTGCTCGCCGCCGAGCCACTGTCTGAAATCCAAGGCTAATCGCAGTCAGAACAGTGACGTTGATGACGACTTCGCACCAACCTGCATTTATACTCAGTAATGGAACATAATCTATGGTTCCTGTCCCTAGCAATCAACGAGACATGAGCATTTGAAGTTGTATAGTTCAGTTTATTCGAGAGAACTGACATTCAAAAAGCTTCACAAAATTTTGTGGGCCATTGTAGTGCTCATCTTGAGGTGAGCGATAAGTGTATGGGGTGGGTATTGGAGATTTGATAACATGATGGTTTCTAAGTGCGTTTCATTAGACATCGATAGTCGAGCAAGGTTGGAGCATACCGTCTGGGAACATAAAGGACTGCGCAACCTCTCTTTGCAAAGAGCCATTTGTGACAATCCTGTTTAGCTCAACTAGTCAAGAAAATTATACCATGAGGTGGATACGGCAGACTGACCGATATCCAAAAGTCAGGCTTCGCCTCCGACAAGTTAATATCTACTTCCTGGCCAATGGAATGCGCAGCATCGACTACCGACCAAACACCTGCATCCTTGCAAATGGCCACCATTTCTTTCCAAGGAAGACGCACGCCAGGAATGGATACGATGGTGTCTATTACAGCCACGACCTTGCGAGTCTGCTTGAGATCGCCCCCTTCCGAGGTCACTCTGCGGACATGTTCTCGCCAGTTCTCCAATATCTCCGCGTGTGAGGTAGGGAACTCGAGATCGAATGTGGACACTTGTGGGTGTGGTGGGGTATCTCCAATATACATAATCGCCCGGGCCACACCACCTTGAGTCGTGGTAGCTGTTTTGGGAAAGGTAACATGAGTGGGAGAACTTCAATGCAGTGATTCTTGACGTACTCCCGATAATGATATCCCCTTCATTCCACTCGAGATTGCGGAGAACCGTAGCTATGCCATGTGACGTATTATTCACCAAGACACACTCATCAGTCTCTGCGCCTATCAACTCGGCCACCCGAGTACGAGCCTCATTCCAGTGGTGAACGCCCTCCATGTGCAGGAATCTGTCTGGGTTGGCTTCGATGCGAGCGGAAAGTTTATCGCATGCAACTCTAACTGGCATGGGTAATGACCCAAATGCACCTTCGATGCGTCAACCATGAATCAGGGTACGGTATGAAGTTTAAACTATGATACCGGTGGTAGAACTCACCGTGGTTGAGGTTGATATAAGATGGATCAAACTCGAAGAGTTTGTGCATTGCGTGCCCAAACGAAGGCGCAGCCCGTTTGTCTAGCTCCACATCAGTAGTCAACGCTAACTCGAAGGACAATGGGGTCTTCATGTCAGTTACGTCCGTGGGCGTCAGTGGCAAGTGGGTGCCGGCACGGTCCAGCATGCAGCCATGCTTGGAGCCTACCAGTGCCGTAAAACGATCTACGGGTGACTCAGCGTGAGAGCCAGCAGACCTTGAAACGAGCAAATAAGGATCACCACTCACCGAGTGCCAGTCGTCAAAAACCCGATGCTGGCCTGTGCAAACCATCACGGTGATCAGGGATTGTTGTCATGACAGACTCATGCTAAGAACGTGATTGGATCGAGTAGCATACAGTGCGGCAGTAGCAACAAAATCAGATAGGAGCTTGCACCGCATACGAGTAACAAGCAGAACAGTGCGGCAGCAGTGGTATGGAAGACAGCGTGTCATGATAACAGTTGGGACCAGGTTGGGAGAGTGAGAAACCGAAATCAACGACCGAGAAGAGACACAGCGGATAGCCAAGCGCTGGATTAATCCAAGGTCGGCGGCTGTTTCCAAACCTTGATTGAGAAGATGGAGGTAGTAGGAAATCTAAGAATATCCAAAAGCATGATTATGTAAGCGAAGTCGGATGCACAATTATATTTCTACCAATCACTCGTTGAGGAGAAGGGGAAGGATACGAAAGAGGACTTAGCTTGACATAAGTATCCTGGATGATACGAGGTAGTAGCAAGTAAAATATAACATATGAATTCATAAAGCCATCAAGTACTTTATCAATCGCCTAGCGGTGGGCGTACGTGTACTGCTAATTTGAATGCAGCCGCATCAACAAATTCTCATCATATGTACTCTGATCAAACTGTAACCCATGGCCATGATGCATGGCTTCTAGCTTCTAGCTTATCTTATCAACAGCTATAGCCACATGACAAACCAAACGCTTCTCAAATCTCACTTATCAGTTGAAGCGTGCAGGCGGTCGGCCCATTCCTCAATCCAGTCCTTATTGACCGATCTCTTCCTAACGTGAAGATCAGACCTCTGTCTTTATCCTTTATTCCTCTGAGAATGGTATCCGCATTTTTCTATGGCACGTTGATGCATCCAGAAATATTGAAACGAGTCATCGGAAACGACGGCAGTCAACTTCAAATATGCCCTGCTCTCTTGCTGGTCAGTCTTCCAGGAAATCTTACGGATCATCACCCTGACACAGCCCCGTTACAGGACTACACTAGGCACCAGGTCAAGGTGAACGATGGCGTTTCCTCCCGATAGCGTCTTGACATAACACGTAGAAAGAATGAGGATTATCCTGGGATCTTGCCGTACTCGCAAAGTCGAGCCATGTTCGATCATGACCTCAATTCGGAAGAGAAATCGGTAAGAGGTTCCCTGGTAACCGGTCTATCGGACGAAGATGTCCGACTCCTTGATGTTTTTGAAGGCAACGTGAGTCCTGCAAGTCGTTTCTATGACTCTTGACACAAATCAACCCCTCCTCGCAGCAATATACAAGAGAGTTGGTATCTGTATACCCATTAGGATCGCTGGCCAACATACGGGACATACCACCAATGGAGGTGAAGTCTCTAGTACCCACGACGCCTCCATCGATCCCTGTGCTATCCGAATTGGCGAACCCTGTAGAGGCAGCTACCTACGTGTGGTGCTTTCCCTCTTCAGGACTCCGGGCACAGCTGTGGACGTTTGAAGAGTTCGTGAAGCTTAACGCGTGGAAGTGGAT